GGCCTAATAGCAAAACTTCTAAACTTAGTCAAAGGTAGGACCTCATTTCATATGTTTAAATGTTCAAATATATTTTACTAGAATAAATTATTTAAAAATAGTAACTATTTACTCTGTCTTCTAAAATTATGTGCTTTGCTACACTGACATTTAATGTTTTTCAAGACTCAAACCAAGTTCAATTGATATATGTGCCTATCTGAGGTGATACTATGAAATATATTTCTTTTCTACATTATTTCATACTGCAGAAGGAATCAAGGGAGCACGAATTTGTTGGAGGAGTAAGAAATTTCTACTTTATTCAGTTTTGGTTCACTCATTTGTACAAATATTTGAATACTATACTATAATGTTTGACCATGACGATACAAATATAAATGGACACAACCAAAACTGTAAAGAAAGCATAAGAATATACAAAGAAGAAGAAAAAAATTAGCTTAAAGTCATATGTACTGAAAAGAAATGTGAGGAGGGTACAAATAAAGAGTCAAGAGAATGTAGTACCACGCTGCTGACCTTGGAGTTAAGATACTAGCTTCTCAAATAGCAATATACTTTCTGTACCAATCAGGTGTGAGGTGGGCCAGTCTAATGTCCTTTGCCCTTTTCCCTGCCCTTTCTCTCCATTTCCTTTCCTCCTCCCCTTCATTTCCTCCTCACCTTCCTCTTCTCCTTCCCTTCTCCCTCCTTTTCCTCCATCTCCCCATTCAGGGCCTTACTTGTTAGACAGGCATTCAATTATTGTGCTCTCTTTTTATGTTAATGGACCTCAAGGTAGAATTTTGCTTTATGCCAGGGCTAGCCTTTGGCTGCAATTCTCTTCTCATTTCACTGAGGATGACAGGCAAGCCACCTTACTCAGCCACTATACTTTTATCATAGTTGGAATAACAGGTGTGCACCACTACACCCAGCTATTGAGTGAGATAAAGTCTTACAAATTTTTATGCCCAGCCTGGCTTGGGTGACCCCTGATCTCCACCACTCAAACAGTTATGATTATAGGCTTAAGCTACTTTGACTGGCTTGAAACTCCCCCCATGTGAAATTAATGTTCCTGGACAACAGACAACAATTTAAATGGTAAGGTTCTTGAAGGAGATGAGTTTCAAGAAGGACAAAATATAACATTTTCCAAGGATAAAATCTGCACTGGAAACCAAGGAAGACAATTGAAAAACAGCTATTACATTTATCAGTGAAAGGAACTGAGTTTGTTTCAGTGAAGGAATTGAGGGAAAGACAATTTGTAATTAGAAAATAAAATGGAGAACTTTTGTTAACATGGGGAGAGGCTTAAGCCTATTCATAAATTAAGGTGGGGGAGCAAGTCCAGCAAAGGGAGAAAACTGAAGACAAAGGAGAGAGAGTCCAATGAAGGATTCCTCTCCTTTTAAAGAAAAGAAAAGGACAGACTGGTCTGACAGGGTAAGATAAGAAAGAGAAAGGGATAAGAGTTGAAGTTTCCTTTTAGTTCATGAATCAGGAAACCCGGTGGTGTGCAGAGATTGAGTTGAGATTGGAGGGGAATCTGTAAAATCTGTGGGGATTGAGTAATAAATATATTTAGAACTAGAAATCCAGAGAAATCAGAATAGTTCATAAGAGCCGAAGAGAAGGGTTTTGAATTTTTTTCACTGTGAATCCCCTAAATTCTTTACTAAGACACAACTACACACATTTCTGACAATAGATTAGAAGAGTAAGATTCTACCATATATAAATTTGTTGACAGTTATATTTTAAAGAGGACTCCCAAACTTAAATATTAAGGACTCAATAACCTGGTTACAGGACTAACATCCAAACAATAAATAGTTTTAACAAATTCTAGATGTGAAATCTCATTGAAATAATTCCACAAATTTTCAGTAAAATTATACTTTAGCTTACCAGTAGGCTACTCGTCTTTGCCCACTTCTCAGATTAGAAAACGACTAAAGGATAACAGAGTCAAACATTCACAAACATCTAGATGACAGGTTTGTACATATCAAGAACACTGATTTTTTTTTTTTTCCAGTTGTGGGGCCTGAACTCTGGGCCTGGGCACTGTCCCTCAGCTCTTCAGCTCAAGGCTAGCATTTTACCACTTGAGCCACAGCACCACTTCTGGCTTTTTTCTGCTTATGTGGTGCTGAGGAATCGAACCCAGGGCCTCATGCATGCAAGGCAAACACTCTACCACTAAGCCACCTTCCCAGCCCCACACTGATTTTTTTTAATGATTTCACATAGATATCCTAGTTATCTCCACACCTCAAGTTGAGTAGAGAAGTTCTTTTAATATAATAATCATTCTATCATATTATGATATTTTAAGACTTTTAGTCTCTTTTTGTTATTATTGGTGGCATTTAACCAAAAATCAACTCCAAGATTTGAGACATAAACTATACTGAAGCTAGTATAACTAACCAAAAGCACTGATGATATTTAAAAATTTCCTAAATTAGTATGTAAATGTCTACACTATATTTTCCTTCGAAAGCAGTGAGTTTAAAAAACACCTATTGGCCAGACACATGTGGCCCACGCCTGTAATCCTAGCTACTCAGGAGGCTGAGATCTGAGGATTGTGGTTTAAAGACAGCCAGGGAAGGAAAATCCATGAGACTTTTATCTCCAAAAAAATCACCGAAAAACCAGAAGTAGCACTGTAACTCAAGTGGTAGAGTGCTATTCTTGAGCTAAAGAGCTGAGGAATAGCACCCAGGCCCAGAGTTCAAGCCCCATGACCAACAACAACAACAAAAGAAACATAAAGAACACCTAGCGATAACATAAATAAGTATTTTCTATCTTGACTGCCTTGCTTTTATTTTTTTTTTTTCTTGAAGCCTTATTTTATTGGCACATTAGGTCAGTTTACCTCAAGATGCATAAAACTCATTTTATTTACCTAAACAATGGCTTTTTTTCTTTTGGGTCGGTTGTGAGGCCTGAACTACTTCCTGCTTTTTCTGCTTATGTGGTGCTGAGGAATCAAACAAGGGCTTCATGCATACAAGGCAAGCACTCTACCACTGAGCCACCTTCCCAGCCCCTAAACAATTACTTTGATAAGCTTAATTTTCTTTAATTTTCATAGTAGATTAGCAAAGTACTTGAATACAGCTGTTTCTTCTACAGTGTACAAGATGCTCATACATTTAAGATTGCCTGCTTTTACTTTTATACCCTTAATCAAAAAATATGTTCACATGAATAGACACAGCAAGAAGGTAGCTGTCAATAAGTCACAAAGATGGCTCTAATCAAGAACGAATTGTGCTTGAACTATGACATTCAACTTTAGCCTCAAGAACTGTCAGAAATCAGTGTTTGTTGTTTAAGCCACTCAATCTGTGGTATTTTATTAGTATTTCAGCAGCCAAAGATGCTCCTACATTAATCCATTCTCTATACAACACATAATCTCTATGTATCATTTAGTTGTAGAAACTTTTTAATCGCTCTCCACTATCCTCATGACCACAACGTTATTCCTACATTAACCACTAATGCAATTTTTTGCTTAACAGGCTACCCCACAAATAAGGAAGCTTTGAAAGTTAACCTTTTGTTGTAAGGAAGCACACACTTTTGAGAATATACTAAAATGTCATAAGTACACAGTAAATAAGCTTTACCTAGTTATGAAGAATTCAATTTTACTAAATCATATTAAATTACATTGTAAATTTACTAACGTATATGATCAATTTTACTAACTTCTAAGGTATGTACTTGAAATTGCATTAAGGATAATGAGATGAGTAGTGGGGTTTAAGAAACACCTAATGATAACAGCAGTATTTTCTATTAGAAATCTTAAAAATATCTTAAGTCTAGTCTTAAAAAAGCTCCTAATTATTAAAATTAGAAAACATATGAATATAATAAAAGAAAAAAATTATACGTTTATGACTAATTCATGATTTGACTTAGTTACAGAGCTAAGGGCACACTTTTTTTAAACATACATTAGCTAGACAAGGGAGGATTTCTTGGTGACATTTCCACACATTCCATCACTATGAGAGGCTCTTTTAACTTCATTAATTATGAATCATGAATATGACTATGAAAATCTTCAGCCAATATTGGCCTGAAATTAATCTATATTAAATTATTCAAAAATGATTACTTGAGGAACAGGTGAATGTTGCTGAAAAAATGGCTAATTAAGGTGATTTCTATGTGCTATTTCTGAGTTGAAAAATGTTTTACCTTCAGTGAGAATTTCTGGGGATCACTTTTTTTCTGGTTATATAAAAGAAAGAAAATGAGGGACTAGTGTAATGGAAAGGATTTTATTCCTAACCTTCATAAGGTTGAGACATAATAGAAAAATGTAATTTATATATAGTTCTGTCTGTCTTATCCCAAACTCAGACAAATAATATTCTAAAGTATTATTACTTTTTAGAAGCAGCATTATTTAAAATGTATATAATAAAGTAGCAATAAGAGAATCATACTGAAGGCTTTTACTTGAGTTAAATTTCAGGAAAGAAAAATGGTGAGTCACAAAATTCAGTAAAATTTATCACCAGACTAAATTTTTTTCATCGACTGAAATTTCTTTTATGATACTATTGAGATTAGGAAGGGTTTATAGTATTATGGTATTTTCAATCAGACGAGACATTTAAAAATGTCTTTGGACCCATACAGTTTATTCACAAGTTTTGACATATTTTACTCACCTAAATTATTTTGAGGCCCTCTCTTTCCTTTTAATGCAAATTACTCAAGTGTCCTCATTGGTATCAGACAAACACAATAGCTATATGTAAAAGTATGGAGAGCCATTTTTAAAAGATACGTATTTAAGCCTGGTCTCTTTTCTCCAAACAGGCCAATCTGTACCACTGTTAGATTTATCAAAATATTACCAAATAATAAATCTGTTTAATAGAAAATTAGTTTAATAAACCACTGAATCTCAGTTAAGTCAAAGTATAAAAAGATAAAAGTTCTGATACCCAGAAGCCTAACAGCCGACTCACCTGCGGCTCACTGGTTTCTCCTCCACTTCTCCCTCTCCAGCTGATTTCACATTTGTACTTATGTCCTTTTTTAATTTCTTTGCAATTCTTTCTCTCAACAGGTTCTTCTCATCACTGTCAATATATTCATCTTCTCCACATTCATCTTCTCCATCCTGAAAAAAACTGAAACTGAGTATCTGCCAGACATTCTATTTTCCTTTCATTTCCACAGATTTATCTCTGACTCTCATTGTATAGTCCAGGTTTGTCTTGCTTTGTTTCCCTTTGCTTTGTTTTGTTTTTAACCAGAAATGTTCAAAAGAATCTTCTCCAGGTGGGAATACCCCTATGGTCTTACTATGTGAGAATAACTCAGGAAGAGTTATTTGCTCAATGTATGTCCAGCCGCTCTAACAGATTGCTCCCTCTATATATTATGTCTGTATATTGTGTCTATCAACATTTCTAATCTTTTTTTTTTTTTTGGGGGGGGGGGGGGTCCGGTCATGGGGCCTGAACTCTGGGCCTGGGCGCTGTCCCTCAGCTCTTCAGCTCAAGGCTAGTGCTCTACCACTTGAGCTACAGCGCCACTTCTGGCTTTTTTATTTTCTGCTTATGTGGTGCTGAAGAATCGAACCTAGGGCCTCATGCATTCAAGGCAAGCACTCTACCACTGAGCCACCTTCCCAGCCCAGCATTTCTACTCTTATGCCAGTGGAAATTGTGTTTCTTGAGGCACTTGGCTAACATACTGACAGGTTAATTCAAGGAGGACAGGTGTAGTGAAGAAGCTGAGATTTATACCTATAACCTAAATTATAGTTACCAGTATTCTTAAAAAACGGCAATGGATCACCAATTCACTCAAAGCCTTCACCTGTCTCTGACATATTCTAGAACTCTAGCTCAGCAACACTAGTCAACTCTGCAGCTGTTCTTTCTGGCCTGAAATACTCTTCTTGTAGATATCCATCTTCTTGCCCATCGCTTTCCTTCACCCTTTGTTCATATGCTAACCTCTCAGTGATGTTTTTCTTGATAATTCTAAGAAATGGTAGAATCACTTTCTATGCCCCCTTCACAGGCTTCCTTTCGAAATGTGCTTATTATTTATGATTACTGTTTTCTCATATAATGAAGGAAATACTCCATGAGGGCTAAAATTCTTGCCTGTTTTGTTTACTGTTATATCTTTAACTTTCAAAAGAACTTTAGCACTAATAATTGAAGAAGACATAAAAGAGAGAAAAGAAGGAACAATCTATACTAAGTGGATCATTTTCCTCTTGTGATTATTAGACCTAGTGAGTCTTGATAAAGCATTATTCTTGAGTGAGGCTTGTGAACCCCAAGAATAGTGGTCTTGGATATCAGGTTATTAGCATTCTTACATGGCCATATGTTTAGTCTCAGCCCCTACTGCAGATTCAGTAAACCAAAACCTCTAGTGAGAGAAACTGTGAATGTTTTCAACAAGATGTTAAGGTAATTCTTAAGAACTATTTTTTTTCAAAACTGCACAAATATTAATATAAAGTGTTACTTTTAAAGAAAATATTTTATTTTGGAAAAATGTGAGCTTTCTATAAATTCAAGCTGTATTTACATAAAATGAATACTTACATCATCCAAATCTCCTGTTGTATCACCTTTTTCACTACAAAAAAAATAAGTAAAAGGAATGTCACCTTCAAAGTAAATTTTTTAGTAATTGCTAGGATTCATATTCCAAAAATTTACTTCAATATACGAATCTCAAAACAGCACTGCAGAGCAGAGGAAATGTCTTACAGCCGAGTTGATATTTATAGGCAGAATAAGATGTATGCTCCATTAGTAGATATGTGAAATCACTGGATTTTTAACAAAGGCTTTAAAAAATCCATAAGGATATTTTGCCTGCAGAAAACAATTTTTTTTCTAAAGAAAAGATCCTAAGAAAAGACTTTTGGAATTGAAAATGAGCTGAACTCAGTATTCCAATAGTATTTTAGATCCCTTTTTAAGACACTGGCCTAATATATCACCTTCATTAAGACATCTTTCCTTCTCAGTAAAGAAGCAACAAAGACAGTAAGACAACTTCCTCTTAACACCTGAGTTTATGTGAGAATGTTTACTCAGTGAATTGGCCTAAAATATAGTAACTTTTTCCCAAAACCTTACACTCTGATTTGCTTGCCCATCATACCAACTGAGACAAGAATACTTCAACAAAAAAGCAATGCAACGTGCATTAAATATTCAACTGTTAAACAACTTTCCAGTAATCACACTATCCTAAGATGAAATAAACTAATAATTATAAGAGTAATTACTTCAACAGAAGTAGCCAGAAATAAGACTGAAAGTGACAACACAGTTCTTCCATCATGCTAGAGGCTCTACAGCTTTTTATCAAAATATGGTTTGTTTGTTTGATCTTTTAGCTAGGTTTCTAAATTTGGATTTATGGGCTCTGACGATTTACTAATGAAGGAAGGAAGAAAGAATCTGAGCTTGAAAATAAGAACTTAAGATCACACCAGCATCATACTAACCTGTCAACAACTGGAACAGAACTGAGATGTGGATCATCCTTAAGGAGATCATGACTGCTTTTACTTTTTCCCTTCATGCTCTGGAAAAAGATTTACAATACCATTAGTGGAAAAACAAACAGTTTTCCAGAAGCACAAGATAGTCGTCACATAAAATCTAGTATTGATGTGTTTAATAAAAGATATGTCTCTGAAACACTCAGGAAAAACTAAAATGGACTGATAACTCAATTATCACTCCATTGACTGATAATAATGATCTTACTTAATTTATTTCAAAACATTGTTTTTAAGACCAGGTCTCATTAACTACGTAGCCTTGAACTTGTAGTCCTCCTGCCTAAATCTCCAAGAAGTGGAATTGTAGATGTGCTCTATCAAAACTACTATTTGGAAACATCTTTTTTTCTTTCTCCACAAACTGATAAATCATTAAAAATAAGTCTACTGATGACCAATTCTGACCTAAATCTTCACGATTCACATATAGCTAATTAATTTTATAACCAATATATAAGAACTTAGAAGATAAATAAGAAGAATAATTTGAAAGTAATATATACTATGAATCATGAATCACTTTTTAAAATATACCTAAAAATATCAGATAAAGATGCCTATAAGGTGATATTTTTAAAATGGTAACAAGCTACTTAGAAGACCCGTAAGCATAGGGCATTCATCAGGGTCTAAAAATTTATTAAATTTCATAATTTCAAAGTTCATGTTCTCAATAAGTTTCCATTATAGTATGGAAATAGGCATAAAAAGAAGACAGAACTAGAGCAATAGTGTAAGAAGTTACTATAAGAAACAGAACTAAAAATCACTACCATGGATGCTATTATTCTAATTTATCAAGTATAGGCTGTATGCCAGGCATCATGCTACAAACAGTTACGTCTAACATTCATAATCCCTCTCTCTCTCTAAATTAAAGAATATGAAGTGGTCATCATTAGCCCTGTTTTATAGATGAATAAAGAGATTGGTTTCTTAGGAGTCACAAGCTAGTGAATGGAACTGGGCCTAGGACTTAAATTCAGGTCTTCCTAATATCAATAATGCACAAAAAAATCTAAATGTATTATTTTTCTTGCTCTATTGCCCCGCCCACTTCAGACCCAGAACACTGGCTGGATTTCAGAGCTGGAATCTCACAGGCTACAGACTTCCCCACCACATGATAGGAAACAGCAACCCTGGCACCAGGCCCCACTGTTAATTTTGAGAACAGCCCTTAAGTTTGACAGGTGTATACCTTCAAAAATATACTTCCATGACAAAAATAATAGGCCAAAATTTTCTATATTATCATGGAGTTCTCTGGGCTTTAAAGATCTAATCAATTAATACATGGTTACAGTCCAGTTTTACCAGACAAAACAAAAAGCGTTTCTCAAACAGTACATCTAAATATACTTTTAATTGTAATTTAGTCTATACTACTAACTCCACAGTCTTTGTTAAAACTAAGGAGTTATGAAAAGGAAAATGTCAACTAATTGTTGGATTGCATCTGTGTCCAACTATAAAAACTGTTCAAAATCAGAAGGCAGTGTAGAAAAATAACATAAGGTAAGAAAAATGTAGCCAGACGTGGCCAACTATATCTGTAGTCACAGGTACTTGAAAGGCTGATGTGGGAAGTTCATCTGAGCTCTAAAGTTTGACACCAAGCTGGGTGACATCTTCAGACTCTGTGTCAAAATAACAAAGAGGTAGCAGTTGGACCATGTAAGTTTTAAGATCTAATATTCCCTGAGTTTACAAGTTTTATTCCACAACTTGTACTATTTTTAAAAATATAGAATGACTTCTTCAGAATGTTGATCTTCAAAATGGAAATGGTACTCTTGGCTATTTTACACAAAAGGAGTGAATATGTATAAAACTGAGCACAAAGTGATCTAAACAATAATAAAATCTGAACATCTATTATTCAAGCCTTTGTCTCCCTAACATTCTTTTCTCCAGCCCTCAGGTTGTCTTCAGGAATTATAAATTTAATTATGCACTTTTTCTACCTGGCTCCCTCCTGGAATCACAATCATAAACATCTATTATTTTTAAATAAGTCTTGTATGTCAAAAATCACAATGATTTTTTGTTCTTATCATACACAAAAAATGAGCGGTAATGTGCATGTTAATTAGCTCACTTAATCTATTTACATATTTTAAACCACCATGTTGCATATGCAAATATATGCAAATTTTTCCGTGAAGTTTAAATTATTAATAATGGTGAAACAAGGTTCTTAGCAGATGCCAGTGGCTCATGGCTGTAATCCTAGCTGCTCAAGAGGCTGAGATGTGAATATAGAGGTTTAAAGCCAGCCCAGGTAAGAAAGTTTAAGAGACTCTTATCTTCATGAAACCACTGTAGAGTGCTAGCCTTAAGTGAAAAAGATAAGGAACAGTATGTAAGCCTTGAGATCAATACTCAGTACTGTCTCCTAAAAATTGAAAAAAAAAAAAAAAAAAAGGTTCTTCCCAACTGTGACAGTACATGCCTATAATCCCAATATTTGGGAAGCTATAGCAAGAGGACCTTGAATTCAAGGCAAGTCTGGGCTGTAGAGGACAAAAGGAAAGAGATTAGGTTTATGTCCCAAAACTTACTTTAAACAGCTTAAGGGAAAAAAACAAATGTATTTCACAGTAATTTAAAAGAACCCTTGACAATAGGAGGAAACTGTGAACTAACATAAGTATTACTATTCCAAATTTTAATTAACTTTTTAAAGTGAATTAGCATAATAATATATGATCAACAAGTTCTTTAGGATCCTTTCCCACTATAGTTAGTAACCATCTGCATGCAAAGAAAACAAATTAAAAAACTGAAAAACTTAGAAGACAAACCCAAAGAATGTAAAAATAAGTTAACTATCTTTAATGCCTAATCTCTCTGAGTGGCCTCAGGCCTAAAAACTTTACCTGGCAGAAAAACACATTAAATATACTTAGTGAATTCAGTGCCAAGAGTCCCAAACAAATTCAAAACTGTTTGCAAACAAATCTAAAAATGATCATCAAAGGAAATAGGGGAAATTTACATTATTATCAGAAGTTTATAATACAGAATAAAGCTGCAGCAAAACAAGAACTAAATAGAATATCAGAAGAAGGGAGGAATGGAGGAAAGAAAATAGAAAGACAGAGATAAAGTGGTACAGAAGAACAACATGGAACAGGAAGCTAGAAGGTCTGGTGTAGTAGCTAATTTTATGTGACAGCCTATCTAAGCCATGGGGCCTAATTTTTCAGTCGATATCTGTCTAGATGTATAAGAAAATATTTTTTAAATGCTTTAGACATTTAAATTTTTAAGCTTTGAGACAACCCTTCAAAATGTGAACAGGCCTTATCTAAGCAACTGAAGACCTTAAGGGCGAGTATGAGGATTCCCCAAAAAGGCAATTCTGCTTTAAAATTGTAACATACAAATTTCTGCCTGATTTTCCACCCTGCAGACTTTGGACTCATTAATTATTCCCAAGTCTACTGTACATATTTTGGACTCGAGTTCCCACAATCATATGCCCAATTGTTATACATATATAAGATCTCTCTTCTTTTCCTCCTCCCACTTCCCTCTCCTTTGCCTTATTTAATAAAAGGATCAACATCTAGGCCAAAACCAAAATAAACACAGAGTAATTTGGTTTTAGATGTTATGGTTTTGTCATGATATTGTCATATAACAAAACCACTCAAATCTCAATGGCTTTGTGGTAGACAAAATAGCATTCCTCAACTTCTACCAAATCAATTTTGAACTTTTGGCCTCCAAAACTGCAAGATAATAAATTTGTAATGCTTAAAACCACACACACACACACACACACACACACACACACACACACACACACACACTCATGCGTGCACACACACATGTACATACACACAGATGCATGTATGCACATACATAGAGATTTTTATATGTGTAATTAAATATAGTCTCCCACTGAATGCAGGATCTTCATGATATCAGTGCTAACGTGTTAATCCATGTTTCTGTACTAAAAGGAGCTTATTAACACACATACTCATAGATGCACACACATGTGTGCATGCTTTTAGCATTAGAAAAATACTCCAACTAGAGAAAAAAGCTGTGTATAACTTCTAACCATGCAATCAACTATAGTTCTATCTTCTGGAACTACAAATGAGTTACAAATAAGTTCTGTTAAGACATATATACATATATATATATATGTATATATATAAACTTATTTCAGATCCAGAAAGACAGATTTGGAAGACAGATTATGGCTCCCAATGATGTCCTTGTCTTAAGCCCAAGAACTTGTGAATATGCTACCTTACATAACAAAGGAACTCTGAAGGTACATTAAAAAAATTCAAGGTGGGCAGTTTATCTTGGATTATCAGAATAGATCTCATATAATCACAGAGTGCTTAGAAGTCATAGAAAGAGAATCAGAGTCAGGGTGATACAATGAGAAAAAGACTTTATCAGTTATTGATGGCTTTGAAGGTAGAAGATGGGGCCATGCCAAGCAACACAGAAAGTTTCTAGAAATTAGAAAAGGAAAGGAAATTAATTTTCCCCAGAGCCTCTTGAAAAAAGGCAGCCCTGCCAATACCAGCACATAACCCAATAAAGCTTATTTCAGACTTCTAATCCCCTGAATACTAAAATACTGTTTGTTTTGTTTCAGAGTACTAAATTTGCATCAATGTTAGAACAGTAATAGGAAACTAGATAGATAGGTAGGTAGGTAGGTAGGTAGGTAGGTAGGTAGATAGATAGATAGATAGATAGATTGATAGATAGATAGATTGATAGATAGATAGATAGATAGTCTATATATATGAATTTAAAAAATCACTGAAGAACTAGAAAAGTAAGTACATTTGAATACAATTTGATGTGCCAAATACTTTACAAATAAGACTAACACTATGACGGCCTCTGTGCTAGCAGACTGGCAGTCCTCTCTATACTATGCTCATAGCAGTCTCCTAACATTGAAGGTAAGTTTAATTTCATAGGATAAACTAGAATAGGAAAAACATTCTAATTAATCCAGAAAGTGGTTTACCTA